TGCTCTGCCAGTCTCACTGTCGCATGCTCCATCTTCCCTCATGCACTCTCACCCATCCTGATCCTTGTATTTGAATATCCCAATTTGAATGCAAGATGAGAAATTTAAAATCAAAGCGTAGCCATACCAGGAGCCAGTGTAAGTCTTAGTGTGAGCTAGGGGTATGACCTTGTGGTTTCTCAGTGTTTCTTATCTGCTGTAACTCATGGGTCTGTTCTGTGTTCTATTTCAGTCAGGTGTACACTGGGGATCAGAAATGAAGGGTGCAGTGAATAAGCCCATAGCTCCAGTGAGCAAACAGTGCAGCCGGAACATGGAGAGACCACGAGCTTCCAGTCTTACAACACCTGGAACCAAGTCCTCAAGACTCCTGTCCTCGTTCCCCACCAACTCCCAGCTCACCAAGGTATGACACAGCTCACTGGTGTGGGATGGCACCAGCAATGCTGCAACTGGGTAAAGGGCTTTGTCCCAAGGTCTGACATACTGAATTGAGTTATAATACATTCCCATCTCAGCTAAAAGAACCATTCATTCCACTTAATCCCTCCCTTCTCCCCTTCTCTCCAGTGTAGTGTCGTACAGAAGGGGGAGAGAATGGCAGGTGCCAAGGAGAGATGCGGTGCACTGGACAGAGTAGCTGTGAGGCAGAGAAAGCTAACAGAGAGAAATGTGGTGTGCCATGTGTATCTAGGTAACAGGAAGAGACACTGGGGAGAACTACAACGTGCTGAGAAGAGATATTGCATGTCAGGAGCATGTAGTTTACTGATGGTCACACTTGGGACTGAGTATTCCCTGTCTCTGCCTGTGGTACAGTTCAAATTTCTCCCCAGAATGTGATGTTAAACTTTAATAGTCCCTCCTGTTGCAGATGCTTATTAACAGTTTGCATGTTTGCAGCGTTTTCTGTTTATAGTCTGGAAATGAATCGTGTCTGTGGACACAGGAGTCTAGAAAAACAATGACCTGGCAAGTGGTCAAGTCTACAGCCAATGCTCAATATGTGAAACGTAGGTCAGCTGCTCTGATTTTGAGAAAATCCAACCAGAATATTTGGATTGGAATGTTGGAGTGTGCATGTACACAAATCATTCAAACCTAGCTCAGGGATAGCAACAGGAATCAAAAAGGGAAATGGAATGTTGCCTTTCTCTCACGGGGTTGGAGTGCGCAGAGCTGGAAGTTCTGCTTCAGTTAAAAACTTTGCTCAGACTCCGTGTAGAATAACTCTGCCCAGTACCAGGCAATGAACCTCTCGAAAGGACATCGTAGTCATGGGGCAGAAGGAGACAAGTTGCAAAATCACCAGAATGATAGTGGGGCTACAACAATTAAATTATGAGGACAGGTTAAATAGTGTCGGTTTGTATTCCCTTGGCTTTAGAAGATTAAAGGGTGCGCTAATTGAGGTGTTTAAGATGATTAAAGGAGTCGATAAAGAGAAACTATTTCCTCTGGCAAGGGGCAGGGAGCCGAGATCAAGGGGGCAGAACCTTCAAATTAAAGCCAAGCCATTCCGGAAGCATTTCTTCACATAGCTTGATGCCTTGAAGAATACAAACAAAATAATGCAGATGCAGGCAATCTAAAGCTAATAAAAAAGAAAATGCTGGAGAACCTCAGCAACATCTTCAGAGAGAGAAGCAGAGTTAACGTTTCTGGTTCTGAGAAAACTGCTGGCCTGTAAGAGATGGCAGTTCATCATTGCTCAGTGAGATGGTGACTCCTGAGTCTCTCCAGAACCATTTATTTTATTGCAGTGGAAATATGGTACTCTCTTCCCTCAAATTCTGTGGATGCCAGGAGTTAACTGAAAATGTTGTAAAGATTAATGTGAAGCTAGAAGAATGGGAAGCTTTTAAAAACCAGCAGAGGATAACTTAAAAAAAACAATAGGAGGAAGAAGGTAAAATATTACAGTAAACTAGCAAGTAATATAAAAGAAGATCGCAAGAGATTTTTTTAGATATCTAGAAGGGGATATTTGGACTGCTGGAAAAAGAGGCTGAAGAAGTAGTAATGGACAACAAGGAAATGGCGGAGGAACTGATTCGGTACTTGGCATTGATTTTTCACAGTGGAAGACACCAGCAACATTTCAGAACTTCAAGAGTATCAAGGGGCAGGAGTGAATGTAGTGGCCATCATTAAGGAGAAAGTGATGGGGAAGCTGAAAGGTGTGAAGGTGGATAAATCACCTGGACCAGGTGGAATACAGCCTAGCATTTTGAAGGAGATAGCTGAGGAGATTGTTGAGGCATTAGCGATGATCTTTCAGGAATCATTGGAGTCTGTGAGGGTTCCAGAGGGCTGGAAAATGGCTAATGTAACACCCTGTTTAAGAAGGGAGGGAGGCAGAAGACAGGTAACTATCAGCCAGTTAGCCTGCCTTGGCTGTTGGTAAATTTTAGAGTCTGTTATCAAGGATGAGATGATGGAGTATAATAGTGGTAAAATAGAACTCAGTCAGCATGGCTTCATCAAGGGGAGGTCATGCCCAACAAATCTGTTAGAATTCTTTGAGGGGATAACAAGCAAGTTAGACAAGGCAGAACCAGTGGACGTGATCTGTTTGGATTGCCAGAAGGCTTTTGACTAGGTGCCGCACAGGAGGCTGCTAAGTAAGATAAGACAAGATGAGGGACGGCACGGTGGCTCAATGGTTAGCCCTGGGACCCGTGTTTGATTCCACCCTCGGGTGACTGTCTGTGTGGAGTTTGCACATTCTCCCCATGTCTGCGTGGGTTTCCTTCAGGTGCTCCAGTTTCCTCCCACAGTCCAAAGATGAGCAAGATAGGTGGATTTGCCATGCTAAATTGCCCATAGTGTTCAGGGATGTGTCAGTTAGGTGAATTAGCCATGGGAAGTGCAGGGTTACAGGGATAGAGAAGGGGATGGGTCTGGGTGGGAAGCTCTTAGAGGGTCAGTGTGAACTTTTTGGGCCAAATGGCCTGTTTCCATATTGTGGGGATTCTATGATTCTAACCCATGGTGTCAGTGGCAAGATACTGGCATGGATAGAGGGGATTGGCTGACTGGCAGAAGGCAAAGAGTAGGGATTAAGGGGACTTTTTCAAAATGGCAGCCAGTGACTAGTGGAATTGCACAGAGGTCAGTGTTGGGACCACAATTATTCACGTTATACATTAACGATTTGGCGGCATTGTTGCTATGTTTGCTGGTGACACAAAGATGGGTGGAGTACGAGGTATTGTTGAGGATGTGGTGAGGTTGCAGAAAGACTTGGACAGGCTTGGAGAGTGAGCAAAGAGGTGGTAAATGGAATACAATGCGGGATAGTGTCAGGTTATGCACTTTGGTAAGAAGAATAGAAGCATTGACTATTTTCTAGATGTGGAGAAAGTTCAGGAATCTGAAACACAAAGGAATTTGGGAGATTCTCTTTAGGTTAATATGCAGATTAATTTGGTAGTTAGGAAGGGAAATGCAATGTTAGTGTTCATTTCGAGAGGGCCAGAATACAGAAATAGAAATGTACTGCTGAGGCTGTATAAGGCTCTGGTCACACAGCATTTGGAATATTGTGAGCAGTTTTGGTCTCTGTATCTAAGGAAGGATTTGATGGCATTGAGGGGATCCTTAGGAGGATTAAAAGAATGATCCAGGAATGAAGGGCTTGTCATACGAGGAGCGGTTTGGACTCTGAGTCTGTACTCAATGGAGTTTCGAAGAATGAGGAGGGAACTCATAGAAATGTACAGAATATTAAGAGGCCTGGACAGAGTATATGCGGAGAAAATGTAGGAGAGACTAGGACCCGAGGACGCAGCTTCAGGGTTAAGGGATGAGGAGATGAGGAGGAATTTCTTCAGCCAGAGGTGGGGTGACTCTGTGGGGCTGTGGAGGCCGAGTCATTGAGTGTGTTTAAGGGAGAGATGGATAGGTTCTTGATCAGTAAGGGAATCCAGGGCTACGGGGAGAAGGCAGGAGAATGGGATTGGGAAACCTATCAGCCATGATCAAATGGTGGAGCGTACTCAATGGGCTGAATGGCCTAATTATGCTCCTATAATTTATGGTTTTTTTATCTAAACTTTTGAGACTAAAATTGACAATTTGGAACAAGGAAGGGTAAATGGAGCAAAGTTACAGATTGATCATATTCAGTTAAATACTGACCATGCTTCATGGGCTAAATGGCCTCCTCCTCTTCCTATGTTCCTAAAACTGTGATGGATTTCTATTTGTGATGGTTAACAACAAGGTGGGTCTAAGTTTTATATTTCTATTGTAACTAACTGTCCTAGTGAGCAATGCAACTGTCTCCATTCTGCTGTTACTTTCCAATCTTTTCTCTCAGGTGAAGAGTAAAAGCAGTGATGATTTACTGACAAAATCTGCTGGCAGCCCGATCTCAAGCTCATCGAAACTGAAGAAAACAGTTCCCATGGGAACCATCACTGAGCTCAGCGAGGACAAGGCAAAGAGCAGCTCAGGTAGGAGATTGTCGGGTCAGGAGAGTTCACCACCAGAAATTGCACCCATCTAAGGCCACACGTAGCCCTCAGGTGGCCTGTTGGGAAGTAAATGTATCCCACAATTGGCGTCATGAGATTCGCTGGGCACCGTCTGACTCACTTGTTACCGTCTGTCTCACTGGGCACCGTCTGTCTCACTGGGCACTGTCTGTCTCACTTGTTACCGTCTGTCTCACTGGGCACCGTCTGACTCACTTGTTACCGTCTGTCTCACTGGGCACCGTCTGACTCACTTGTTACCGTCTGTCTCACTGGGCACCGTCTGTCTCACTGGGCAATGTCTGTCTCACTGGGCAATGTCTGCCCCACTCGGTACAGTCCATAACTGTTTGGGCTGAATTTACTGGGAGTGACAGGATCTTGCCTGTCAGCTAGAGCGAACCCATTACATTTTTTAGAGAAGGCATGCTGTATTCTGTGCTACTCAGGCATTTAACAGGCCAGTGTGAACCTTCCATGTTGGTGGGACCCTGTTGGTGGGAATCCTGTCTACCAAATCCTTCTAGCCAATCGGAGATCGCTGGTCATGACAGTTACCAGCACTGAATGCTCCCAATGAGCTATGGTGATCATGGGAACCAGGCCGAAGGTGAGAGATGGAGGGGGTCAGTGGTGGGAGCAAGCTGTCTCTTTCCTGGTGCTGGGACCTCAGTCAGGCACTGAATTGGGAACATCCTATCCTCACCCTCAAACAATTTCACACTGCCTTGTCTGCCATTTTTGATCGCCGTACGGTGAACCACTGCCCACCATCGGCTCAATATGTGGGCGAGCTGCCTATTTAAGGACATCACTTGGCAGCAAGCTGCCACTGACTTCATTGGAGGTTGATGCAGGAAACTGTTGGGTCCCCAGCTGATTGAATGCCTCCTCAGTCTCCATACTCACCCCAGGGAAATTCCAGGCAGATACTCTGAAGCAGATGGTCACTGTTCGGAAAAGCTACGCTGAGGTTCCCCTCTCACCCCATCTTTACCTATACATCAGGGAGAGGGGAAGCTGGGGTCGAGGTTCAGGTAATCCTGGTCATGAGTGACCTTTGGCCTCAACTCCACTTTCCTGCTCACAATCTAAATCTCTTGTAAAAATCTGTCCATCTTGATTTGTCTTTATTTCACCGATGCATAGAGGATAGAGGATCCACTGATTCTCTGGTTCTGAGGAAGGGTCAACAGACCTAAAATGTTAACACTGATATTTTCTTCACAGATGCTGTCAGACCTGCTGAGCTTTTCCAGCGACTTCTGTTTTTGCCACTGATTCTCCTGCCTGGAGAATTATAAAACTTCTGAAGTTATTTTAAATACAGCATCAGAATGGGGCCATGTGCGTGAGGAGTGCCCAATCCACCCTTCCACCCTGGCTGTGGCACAGTCTGAGACCATACTGGCCAGGTTCAGTCTTGTTACTGTAAACAGTCTATGGACTGCACCCTTTAATATAAACTGCACCTTTCGTCTCAAAATCCAGTAACAGACACTGTGAGCAATGAATTCACCAGAATCCTTTAACATCACATTTCCAATAAGAGTATAGTCTACAATCCAATCTTAGCAGTGATTAATTAGAATTCTCAAGGGAAGGGTAGGGCGATGAATTAAAATAGAATTGATTGAAACAGTAAGTAAGCTGGGTTTATCATTTAGTCAGTGTTGGTAATGTGAGACAGCTCAGTTTGAAGTCCAGGCAGCATCAGAAGAGTAGGAAAGTTGACGTTTCGGGTCGGGACCCTTCTTCAGAAATGTGCTCCTCCAGCTCCACATTGTGTTATCTCTGACTCCAGCATCGGCAGTTCTTACTACCTCTCAGTTAGAAATCCAATTCTCAGTGTTGGAGAGCTCCCTCTGCTGAGAGCCCACGCTAATGAAAAACGCCACTTGACAAACAGCGAATCCAGCTCCTGTCCTTGGTCAGTCCAACTGCAGAACGTGTCTGGGATAGCTCTGCCTTTCCTTCCAACACATCCACACAAAGAAACTTCACATCCTTTTCTCCCAGAGCAAGGAACACTGCCCAAGACAGTCGGGAAAATGGGAAACCAACCTGGAAAAACAGAGAATCGGGAACAAGGTTTGGAATTCCTGCCTGAGATATTGTTTAAAGTAACAGTGTGAGTAAGACATGAGACGCAGTGAACAGTGAATGTTATTATTGGGGCAAAGTGATCAGAAGTAATTAGAAAGGAATGATTCAAAAGATAATGAATTTGACACTTTCTTGTCCACAGACAGGATTTTATCCCAGTGCAAACTTTCTGTAACTGGCAATATTTGTGTAAATATAGCAGTGACTGGAGATTCTTGGTGGCTCCAAGACGGCTATATCAAATATTAATGACATGTCTCAGTACTCACTGGCCCTGTGAGTGAGATCGGCCTTGATTTGTGGCCAAACAACTCTGGTTCTGAGTGAAACATCCCCTTGTTGGATTAGGACAGGCTCTCACCCATGGTGCAGATCACTGTCATATAAGACCCAAGAGTTATTCTAATACTTTGTAATCAAATGACTTTCTCACAGTTTATTTCTCTGGCGGGTGGACAGTCGGAATAGCATTCAGCGAGAGGAGAACAATTTCTCACTGCACCCAGGGAGCAGGAGGCAGCCTCGTCCAGAGTAGGGTGGGGCCCTGTCCCGATCGAGAGGAAGGCCAGTCCTCAGTGGCAGTGTCCCATGTCCGGATTGGGAGGGAGCCCAGTCTGTGTGGGGAGGGAGCCCAGTCTGTGTGGGGAGGGTGCACGGTCTGTGTGGGGAGGGTGCACGGTCTGTGTGGGGAGGATGCCCGGTCTGTGTGGGGAGGGTGCCCGGTCTGTGTGGGCAGCGAGCCCAGTCCGGATTGGGAGGGTGCACAGCCCGGATAGGGAGGGTGCCCAGTCTGTGTAGGGAGGCAGCCCAGTCCGGATTGGGAGGATGTCCAGTCTGTGTAGGAAGGGAGCCCAGTCCGGATTGGGAGGATGTCCAGTCTGTGTAGGGAGGCAGCCCAGTCCGGATTGGGAGGATGTCCAGTCTGTGTAGGAAGGGAGCCCAGTCCGGATTGGGAGGGAGCCCAGTCCGGATTGGGAGGGAGCCCAGTCCGGAT